TCCTCGAGACGACGTTTTTGTGTTCTCCCTCTCCTCGTGGCCTTTATTATTATTTTTGCTGCGTGGGTGCCCAGCGACGTCGGAGGGTTGGAAGTCGCGGTGCCTGCGCTGTTCGTGTCAAGCTTGTAATTCTTCTCCGCCTCTCTTTATGTGGGGCGTGGCCGGTGCACTGCTACCCCGCTCCCGCTGCGGCTGTGACTTGTCCCTTGCACTCCTCCTGTTTTCCCTTCCTCCACCGTCATTTCTTATTTTACTCTTTTTCGCTTGCACACGCACACGCAGAACACGTCTGAAAGGGCAACCACTCCACACAACAACACACACTGCAAACGCACACATGCCAGAGAAGCTGACGAAGACTGACAACGGCAAGACCGTCACGGTGGCGGTCGGTGAAACTGTCGAGGTTGAGCTCCCCAGCAACCCCACCACCGGGTTTTCGTGGATGTTTGAGAACCGCAAGAAGGACGATCCCGAAAACAAGGCGCTTACCGTCACGAACTCATACGTCGCCCCGGATGCGAAGCTGATTGGTGCGGGCGGAAAGGAGCTTTTCAGGGTGACATCGAATTCCCCCGGCTTGCACGAGGTGACCCTTGTCTACATGCGCTCATGGGTCGGGCCGCGGCCGGACTCTGAGCGCTTTACCGTGCGGATCAAGGTGAACTAGCGTGTGCGTCTCTCTTCCTCTCTTTTTCTGCCCACATTGTGCGGCAGCAGGTAGTGAGGCTCCCCAGGCTTGGGAGCAAACTGAGAAAATACACGATGGATAAAAAAAAACAACAATATTCTCATCAAGCATTGTACCAGAACACAAAAACGAAGCGGTGAAGGGTTTATTTTGTTTGCGGAAAGACAGGTGGGCAGAGGGTCTACATGAAAAAAAAAGTTTGGTGAAAAGAGGGGAAAAAGTCAGTATCAGGAAAAATTAAAAAAGTTACAAGCAAGTTGGGAAATAGAGCGGGGGGGGGGGGGGACGTGTTAGTAAAGCGCAATTGTGATGTGTCGTGTCTAAATGTGATTTTCATCTAAGTGCTGAAACGGAGGAGAAAGCAGGGGAACGAAAATATATGTAAATCTCCTCTCCTCCCTCTTTCTCCAGCGAGGGAACTGGAAGAATTGCTGCGAGGTGCCGACTCTGACTTTTGCGGGGGAGTGGCGAGGTTTCCCTTGCTCGCGCTGCCAAGCCCGATTTGTATGCGCACGTATCTTCTGACTGGCCGCGTACAAGGATAGGGGGAGGAGGGAGAGGGTCAGAGGGAAGTGGAAGAAGGAGAGAAGGGTCGGGGATGAGTGAAGAGGTGCCCCGGTGTTTGCTGTCGGGCAGCGCGTGAGCCACCCTGCACTTGACGGGGCTGCTGCTCTGCTGAATGTGCCACCTCCGCCTCTTATTATTATTATTATTTTGTTTTTTGAACAAGCCTTACTGGTGCAGGCAGTAGCAGGGGAAGGGGCAAGGAACGGGAATGGAGCGCATAGGTGACTTTGTCGTCTTGGCGTTTCATGAAGTGCGTGACGCCGCCTCGCTGCATAGCCGCCTCAAAACGCGCGCCACCCGTGCCGCCTGCATTGACTCAGCGTACGTTGTGTCGCGGCTGCACCTGGTCGTGGCGCTGCACCGCATTAGCGCTGCACCGCTCGTTACTGGCCCAGGCGACCGTGAGGCAGCTGCAGCACCGACAGACCGCGACATCTTCGCCGCGCTCTCCCACACACGAAACCTCCACAGTGTGATGAGGCGTCTTACCTGTTGCGAGACGACCAGGGCGGTAGTGGTTGTTCTATACGCCCCGGCGGACAAGGCCATTGCGACCGTGCTTGAGGCTGTTCAGGGGAAGCAGCACGGGCTTTCGTCGCTGGAGACGTACTGCGACGAGGCAGCTGTGCGGGACTTTTACGGCGTTGGGAGCAGCGAAGCGGCGACACTTGAGGTTGCGGTTGTGAACCGCCTCTCCACTAGCGACATTTGAGACGAGGGCAGTGTGAGGGGGAGCCGTGTCGTCGCTGTTTAAACGTGTGCGTGTTGCTGCCTTTTTCTTCCTCGAGACGACGTTTTTGTGTTCTCCCTCTCCTCGTGGCCTTTATTATTATTTTTGCTGCGTGGGTGCCCAGCGACGTCGGAGGGTTGGAAGTCGCGGTGCCTGCGCTGTTCGTGTCAAGCTTGTAATTCTTCTCCGCCTCTCTTTATGTGGGGCGTGGCCGGTGCACTGCTACCCCGCTCCCGCTGCGGCTGTGACTTGTCCCTTGCACTCCTCCTGTTTTCCCTTCCTCCACCGTCATTTCTTATTTTACTCTTTTTCGCTTGCACACGCACACGCAGAACACGTCTGAAAGGGCAACCACTCCACACAACAACACACACTGCAAACGCACACATGCCAGAGAAGCTGACGAAGACTGACAACGGAAAGACCGTCACGGTGGCGGTCGGTGAAACTGTCGAGTTGAGCTCCCCAGCAACCCCACCACCGGGTTTTCGTGGATGTTTGAGAACCGCAAGAAGGACGATCCCGAAAACAAGGCGCTT